CTGAGTGGGTCATTGGCAGCCTCAACCATTTCACTGAGGTCGATGTCATTCGAGTCAAATTTTGAGATCGAAATTGCATCTGTCACCTCAGAGTTTTCGCTGTCGCCGTCAGGGACGCGGAAAGCAACGGCTCCAAGTGGTGCTGTGGTGTGGGATGGTGGGTTGGTAGATGGTTCAGGTGGTGGTGGACCGGCAGGAGAGTTGGGTCGTGTAGTGCTGTGATGGTAGTCGTGGGTGTAGTGACTGTTGTTCCATTCGCCCCAGGTGTCATCAGCATCAGGTGTGGGGATGTAGGCCGGATTGGTGGGCCGTGCAGCCGGTCGTAGTACGACTTCGCGGCCTCTGGAGCGACGACGAGGCGTCGTGGAGCGTGGTCTGGGGTGAGATCGATGACGTCGAGGAACCACGGGAGAGCGGCGTCTTGGCGGTGATCGTCGTCGATATGGAGAAGGAGTTCTGCGGTCCTTGTCGTGTTTCGTGGATGACCGAAATCGAGGAAGGGGAGAACGAGGTCGAACAGCACGGCGAGGAGAATGTCGACGATGATGTGGTTGTGCCGAAGGTCGACGAGAGCGTGATCGTGGAGTCCTGGATCGTGGTCTGTGCGCTGACGATGTAGGAGTACGTTGGTGATGAGGAGGAGAAGTGGCCGGACCAGGTAGGGTACGATGGTCAGGGACTTCAGGTTCGGTAGGTCGTGCTTTGAGTGCAGGTGGTGGCATGGGCGAAGGTGGTGTGGTAGTTGGCGGTGATGGTGTAGGCAGTGTGGGGTCCGGTGCAGGTACATCGTGGTGAATAAGTAGCTGACGTTGTTCTTGGGCGCGTTGAGAATCCAAAATCATTTGTTGTTGAGCTTGAATAAGACGGACAGACTCGGCAAGTTGTTGTGTAGTGGAGCCCAACGCTGCAAGTTCTGGTGAAATAGATGGGGACGGTGCTGCCGTTGGTGCCGGTGGTGTAGCAGGGGCAGAGGCTTTGGGAGCTGAACGACGTGGTTTTTCAAGTCTCTTGTCGGAGCGAAGCTTTGGGGCAGCCTTAACTGCCGGTAGTGGAGGTTCATCTGGAGGAGCCATAGATGCTTCCGCCAATAGTGGAGGGTGAGGATGGCGAGGTGGGTATGGAGAGCTCTGCAATGGTGTCGGTGGAGTAGTCGTTGTAGGCGATGTAGCTGGAGCAGAATGCCATGTGGGTGGAGCGGTGGGTGCCGGAGGAGTAGTGAAGGTCGGTGGAGCGGTGTGCATCATAGTTGGTTCAGGGGCCAGAGGTGTGGGCATTGTCGGCACGATTTGAGGGGCTGGTACCGCATGAGGGGCCGAAGTCAGTGATGTGAATGGCAAAGATGGTGCGACAGACGTGGACGGCATGAGCGAAGACGACGAAGACCATGTAGGATGTAGTGGCGAAGGTTGTCCAAATAAATGCGCAGTCTGCGGTGATTGGGGCCACGTCGAAGATGGGTTTGTAGGCTGCGGTGGAGTAGGCCATGACGTCGGAGGAGTAGTCCACGGAAACATAGCTCAAGAAAGATAATGAAAAATTCACACACAGGACTCAGTTCCTAGACCTACTGTTCGTGCGATTATTCCCTGCACCGGGACCGTGGTCAAGTCTTGCCCCAATTGGCATAAAACGGCTTTCAAGTTCCATCGAATTGGATGCACAAAATGTTTAACCTCACCAGACAACCATCAAAAGAAAGAATCACCACACCTGAAAGTCGTGTGCCTGCCTGATTCCTGTATCAAATGCTGTTGTCATGAATCGTCAAAAGCAGCTGCGAAAAGGAGAAGGTTTCTGATTGTTTCGAACAACGTCACGCTTGAAGAATGCAATTCACGAGGATCACAAGGGACAATAGGAGCCGCGGGACTCTCGAAAAGGCTGATAAACCGCAAGGCTGATTGTTGCCCTTTACTTAAACGAATTACTAAATTAAAATGTGTAAATTCGGCAGTCAAGACAGTCATCACTCACCCCAAAAAGGGTTGCCTCAAATGGCTCCATGGCACCATGTCGGAGCCACCATGGAAATCACACTAGACAAGAATGGATCATTATATGATCCGGCAGGAACTGTATCCTGAAACATGCAGATTAGAAATGAAACAACGAAAATAACGATGCACCCTACGAGTAATAGAAGTTCTCCTGAATGGTTTCCATGGCCAAGACCGTCATCAAAATAAATAAATGAATCGGCGACGTGGTTTAGATAAAATAATCCAAATACATCGGCGACAGGTCGGCGAAATAATCCAGAAAATCAAAATTAGTGTCGGCGACATGGTTTCGGCGAAAAACTGAGGAAGGTTCTGATGCATAAAATACAGATTGTGGCAACCGTGGAGAAATAAAATCATGGTGTTGGGGTACTTGGCTTAGCCCCTCGCCATTCACACGCAATGATTGCAAAATAATGAATACGACAGCTTGTTCAACAGTTCAAAAAATTGCAGGCACGTTTTCACCCCCATGCTGTCTGGTCTTCGTTGGCCAGGACAGACAGTCATGGGTTCCTGGCCCCCTGCAAATGTAAAAAGGTTAGAATGAAAGAAGTTTTACATCTGTTCAGATGTTACACACACACACACCCACGCACACGCACACACACACAAGCTCCTCTGCACCATCCTGGTGCACTCAAACGCCCAAACAGCTGGGCATAGGCCATCCTGTTCAATAACGCGTTTTGTAGCCTTCGAGCCATTGGGGACTGATCTTCTTGCGGTGTTTTCATTTGAGCTGGACATTGTTTTGGTGCTTTTACATTTTATCTTTTGTGGATCGATTACGGCAGTGAACTCTTGTTTTGATCCCCTGCCTTGATTTGTGACCTCAGCCATTTCCAATTCTTTATTCCTGCATTCTTGCTGAGTTGGACAGAGCGTCCTGCACTGATCACGACGACGACAGATCGTGTGACCCGAGTGACCAGGCTACTACTGACCCTGTTTTGTAGTCTCAGGCTCTCTTCAGCTTGCACGAGTGCTCTTAGCATTCCGCATCACGCTGCGTTACGGGAGTGGGCTTCCCTTCACACACTGACTGGCCCAACAAAGATTTTTCACAGCAGAGCAACTTTTTTGGACACTATTTTAATTTGGCAGCAATACAGAGGGGTGGACTCCCTTGCAGATTTTTCACTGGTCCAGCAAGATTGCCGGCGACTTGACCACCTGACGGTACCCAGTACGTGCACAGACCTGCAGGCAACACGGGTGGGCTCCGTTTTCTCTCTGACTGGCCCTGTTCAACACAGAACATATTCAGACTCAGGAGATTCAACCACGTACAATTGTGCGCCTTGCACTGACCTGACGGATCCAACGAATTTGCACACCTGGGGCTGGGCTCCCCATAATACGCTGACTGGCCCACTTGCTGCGATAACAACTGGGTTGGACACCCTGACTGCTTGTTCCTTCATTGCGCACAACGAGGAAACTGGCTCATTGACTGACAACGACAACTTTTATTTTGGTGTAGGGGTGGGCTCCCTTTTTTCCTGCATCCTGGCCCTGGTATTGATTGTTCAGCATTTGCGACGACAGGTGGGCTCCGTACAGTTTTTTGGACTGACACCACAACATCGACGCTTTAGACTGCCACTGGGGGTGGGCTCCCTTGCTCTGTTCTCACTGGCCCTTGGTATTTGGCTCAACGTCAATTTTTGCTGGACATATCACTACAACAGTACTGCACTGCATATATTCAGACAGGAATCTGCTACAACTGACAGGCTGTGGATCGACAGTCGTGGAACTGCACTACAATTACCTGACAGTGACAACGCGGAATCCTCACTGCACAGCAATTTTTTTGGACCCAACACAAATATTTGGGAGTGGGCTTCCCGCATCTTTTCTGGCCCTTTTGGACACAATCATGCGATTCTTCCACATTGGGTGATATTGCAATCAGAGATTTTTGAACTTTGCTGCACAGGGGTGGGCTCCCTACCTTGCGACTCACTGGCCCGAATATTTCCAGTATCACAAGGGGATTCACAGCAGCTGCGCTTTTTTCTGGTGAGGGTGGGCTCCTCGACAATTTCTCTGGCCCAGATACAATACATTGATATTTTTTTGCCACTGGCCCACTGGAACTTTTTGTACAATCATTCCTTATACATTTTTTTGACATCGATCCAAAACCAGCTGTACACCCTTTTTCACACCGCCGACTGTTCAACCCCATCCAAAGACATCAAAAGGCACTGGTGCCACACCACTTGCAACCGACTGAGTGTGTGGCTGAACACAGAACAAAGACTGGCCGCAAAGAGTGCAACTACTGTTTTCACAAGATTTTGGTGCAGCCCTGGTCCCAAGTCCAGGAACACATCTGAGTGCATTGCAGAATCGCTGTACTTTTTTCAGAGGTGTGTTAGGAGTGACGGTTGCGTTTTTGTCATGGAAAACGCTGAAGTGCCAAATATCTGGACGCCTTTGATGCTCCTTGAATCAGGCACGAAGGAACATGACACGCGGCCAGGAGCATGCTTTCAAGCAAAAACCTGGCATCCTGCACCTAGGCCTGTTGTGAAAAGAAGTATCAAAAGAGCCTACAAAAGAGCTATCCAAAATGGCATAGCATGGTATCGAGGCCGCTGCCTCACACCGACAGATTTCCCGAAAGCCTTGCAATCCCAACCAACAGTGTTGCCTGAACAGAAAACACCTGAGCAGAGGACCAACCTGATTAGATGCAATCAAACACACCAAGATGCCAAGCGCTTCCGATTGCTCCAATGGAATGCCGGAGGATTAGGCCTGCATAGATTGGATGCCACCAAAGTATGGATGCTTGAAAATCAGATCGACGCTGCCATGATCGTCGAAACCAGATGGACACATGAGAGCGAGTGGTCCGACAGCCATTTTCATTATATCCACACAGGAGATTCCTCACACCGTGGCATGGGAATCGTATGCATCCTTTCCAAAAGACTCTGCAAAGCAGAGCACATTCGATGGCGTGTGCTGATCCCAGGCAGACTGATGCACATCCAGGTGCAAATGCATAACCGCAACCTCGACTTGGTTGGGTGTTACCAATACACTCAAGCACACCATGCCAGCAGAATGCAGGACAGAACCCACTGGTGGAACCAACTGGACAGCCTTTTGCACGGCCTGGCACATCGGAATGTGTTAGCACTCACAGGGGACTTTAATTGCAACCTGGTGCCCTCGCCCACCCACAGTGGCCCTGACCAGTACCGCTGGCGTGGACACATGACTGCCGGAGCTGCACACCAGGATGCAGGACATTTCACGTCCCTGCTCAGAATGCACGGGCTCACTGCCCTCAACACGTGGGACCCAGGCCTTGGGCCGACATATGTGCATGCCAACCACCATTCAAGAATAGATTTCATCATTACAAGGAAGACAGTAGCTGATGGAGCCGCCAAGCACATTTGCTATGCCTGGGATGCCCCATTTTGCAACCATCATGATGGTCATGTCCCCATGATTGCACAGCTACGGAAAACTTGGTATAATGTCAGAGATCTAGGAGACAGCATCACACCACAGCAGCTTCGCACTGGATATCATGCTTTCCGACAGAACTCAGAAGTATGGCAACATTTTGTTGCCACAGCCGCCAATGACCTTGCCGCATTGGATACAGCGCAGACCTCAGATGAAAATCTCATCCCAATCATGCATGACAGAACCATCAGATGTTTTCACACCTTTTTCCCACATGAATCCACATGTACCACCATTGATACCACCACAACCACGCTGGTAATGAACAAATGGACACATCGCAAGTTTCTACTTCAGCTTGACCAGACAGATCCCACAACACTCCTGCAGGCATGGTTTCACTTGACCAGGTTCAGACGCCTGAACCGACAATCCAAAAGGCATGCTCGAGAAGTACGCCAACGCAGATTCCAAGAGGTTGTTGCTGAGGCCCAACATGCAGCCATGCGACATGACAGTCATGCTTTGTTCAAGTTGATTCACAAATACTCACCCAAGCAACCCAGACGCCGCATGCAGTTACGCACCACACAAGGACACATTGCCACACCTGTTGAAGAAACAGCCATGTTGCGCCAATTTGTCATGGATACATGGTCAGGACCCCCAACTTTTCCAACACCTGCACTGCCTTATACAGGTATGCCGTTCACTGCTGAGGAACTGGAACGTGAGATCAGCAGAATACCTGCTGGCAAGGCTGTTGCACGGCCATGTGCACCCGGCATGATATGGAAATCCCTGGCCCCATACATTGCCCCTGCAATCCATGCCCAACTTGAAACATGGTGGCAAAGACCAACCCCCTATTTACCTGGATGGTTTAGAGATAGCTGGATGATACTTATCCCCAAACCTCATAAACCTCCTGTAGTACCAAGTGCATTGCGGCCCCTGGCGCTGCAAGAACCCATCAGCCAATGCCTGGTAGGGCTGCTGACCCGAGCGGCCCTACGTGAGGCCTTGCAAATGATAATCCTGCCCCTCTGGGCTTACCTGCCTGGCCGTGGCACACAGGAAGCACTCATGAGAGTTGCCAGCCATTGCCGTGCAACACGCACCCTGATGCAGACCTTAAGATCCACCACACATGCCAGACAGCGTGGACAGCCCAGACCCAAAGTAGCCGGGGGATTACAGTTGTTTTTAGACGTTGAAAGAGCTTTTGACCTAATCAGCCGTGAACGCCTTTTTGGCCAACTCCACAAGCTAGGCATAAGCCCCCAAGTCCTTCAACTTTTATCCCTATGGCACCAACAGACCAATTATCACTTGAAATGCCATGGAACAGAAATTCCCATCCAAGTGGGCCGCGGCGTCCGCCAGGGCTGCCGTGCAGCCCCACTATTATGGAACAGTTACATGTGGTTGTTTTTGGTGGAACTCAGCCGAATTACCAGTCCACAATGGACAGCCCAATGCATCAATGTCTATGCAGACGATTGCCACATGGGTGATGTTTTTCAGTCCACCACTGAGCTCACTTCATTGCTTGACAACATCAACAAGACATTGATGCTGCTGCGCCAATTTGACCTGACCATCAATCCCAACAAATGTACAGCCATGCTTGCCATTGGAGGCACCTCGTACAGACAGGTACGTGCATCAATCACGGCGTGGAAGGATGGGAAAGAATGGCTCCGTTTTGGCACGACTGATCAACCCATTTGGATACCGCTGAACAAGACAGCCAAATATCTGGGCACTGTGATTTCTTACACCAATTTTGAAGATGCCACAGTCAAACACAGACTTCAACTCAGCAAAATTGCATTTGGCCGCCTGAAGCGCTGGTTGACAGGTAGTAGAGGGCTGAAACAATGGCAGAGACTCCAACTTTTCACCACTTGCGTATACCCCATACTGACATATGGAATTTCTGCCACTGGACTCACAACAATGGGCGTCACCCTGATCCAAAAACATATGTACAGTTTGCTACGACAAGTTCTCTGTAATCATTCCTATATCACAGGCCAGACACACCAGACAGCACTGACCAACAATCGTGTTGCCCTACCTGCCGCCTGGCTATGGTCATCTGCTGAAACTTTGCAGAGGTCCATTCAAACCAGATTGGATGCTGCCACCACTGATGACATCCTGCACACGCTTGATTGGAGTGTTTTACCAGATATCATGAGCCTTCTGCAGACCCACCTGCATCCAGGACCTGACGCCATCATTGCCACTGCTGTGACTGACGTGCCCAATCTTGCAGACACCATGACATGTCAGATTTGTGGTTTTTGCACACAAGACGTTGCATGTTTTCGTAGGCACTGTACCATCCAACATGCACAACCCATGCATCGCACCAATCCAGTTGACCCTGCCCAGCACATGCATGACGGATTGCCACAATGCAAACACTGCCATCGGAAATTCACCACTTGGAGATCCTTCACCAGCCACATCCAACGTGGCTGCCAGGTACTGCAAGCTGGCCCAGACGCGTGCTGGAGACCCACTACACAAGCCTTTGCCACCGACAGGCTTCTGACCAGCACGATGTTTGCACCGAAGATGGATCCCGCTGTACGTGGCACAGCCATCTTGACAGATGCTGACCTTAGCAACATGCTGAGCCAGGAGTGGGGACATCGAGTTTTGACCATCGTTGGCTCCAGAAATTGGCACCGCATGAAGAAGGAGACTGCTGCCTGCAGTTACCTTGCACAGCGCTGCTGTTTGTGCGATCAATTCCTAGGCCGCACTCAAGAACTGCACAGACACCTCAAGTTGCATCACCCAGAGTTTTGGAATCACGTTCAAGAGAAGGGACATCAGCTCATGAATTTGCATGGAGAGGACCCGCCATGTCCGTATTGCGGGGCGCTGTTCAAGGCTGCGCACCAATGCCCAGTATGGTGCCAACTTGCAATGCTACTCATATACGGGGGAGGCATCAGCGCTGGAACCACACATGTGCCTGCAATTTTACGTTGTGAAATTTGCTTAGAAAGCTTCACCACCAGTGAGTTGTTGCATGAACACCTGATTCAAGAACACCGCCTGAAAAGCCAGAGCTACAACCCTGCCAGAGACTCCTTGGAGGGGGAGCCAGTCTGCGCCCACTGCTTGGCGATGTACGACAACATGGAGTCCTTGCGGTCTCATGTGAACCAAGGCCGGTGTCCCAAGTTTAACCCGGCATTGCCAACAGAAGTGATTGACATTCAGCCGCAATGGGTTGATGCCATGTGTCATGGAAAGATAGCAGACGTTTTGCGCGATGCACATGTCAGACTCCAGCTGACCTTGCGGTGCCAAAACTGTAGCAGCCGCTACACGCGCCCGGCCGACCTCTCAGGCCACCTCCAATCTGCGCATTCCAGTCTCTGGTCAGAGGCTCAAGTTCTGACGGGGATCATGACATCCCTCATTTACAGTGAGGCAGGTTGCACATGCAACCCAAGCATCACAGCCCCCCGGGCTGGACACATATGCTTGCCCCTACGTCAGCTGTCAATGCAATATATGCGCATGCAAGGAGCTGTCCTGTTTCCACATCAACCGACAGATGAGGAATTAGTTCAACTTTTTTCTGAGAATCTGCCCAGAGAATCCAGATTTTTGTTGGAACGCACCCTGACGGCTGGCACGTTGACTGATTTCTGGACCCATGCCACGCACCTGGAATTGCTGAGGGACACTTGCACCCTATGTGGCGCCCACTTGCATCCGGCTGACCTGGTCCTGCACATGTATGAGGCGCATCAATGTGGCCTGCCAATTGTCAAGTTTCTCAAGCAACAGCTTGTTCCGAAATTTGCTGCTGCCAACCATGACCCACCCAGATGTTTTGCATGCAAGCAAGTTTATACCATTGCTTCCGCAGATGCTGACATGACTGATGATGCCCTGACCTCTGCTGCTCAAGTGCATTTCCGTGCTCAGTGCCCTTGTGTACTCCAGACTGCTGTGATTCTCAGCAAAGCTGCACATGGCCGACATGAATATGCCCGAGCCCGAAGAAACCAATCAACAGGTTTGGACGGCCTTCCAGGCCATTGGAGCTCTGCTGGACGACTCCCTGCAGCTGGAACCCAATGCAGCGGGTCCCAAACGACAAAGAAAAGAAGAACCGACAAAGGCCAAGGGCAATCCACAAACCAAGCAGCTGAAGGAGAAGATCGACGTGGCACATGCTCTTTCACTGATGGCCAAACTGACCCTTCGCCTGGACCGAGAACTCCAGCAGCTGAAACGGGAAGACACATTCATCTTCTTCTTCGGGCACAAGGGGCCAAACAGCAGTCTGAGTCACCTGGTGAAGGCCACAGACGACTGGGTGAACAATCGCCAATCCAAGTCCCAGATGACAACCATGCCTCTGAGACAGCACCTGATGCAAGTGGTCTTCAACACCCTCCTGACGCGCCTCACCAAGCTGGGGGAGACCAAGGATGGATCAGAAGTGCAACAAGCAGCCATCAGCAATCTGATCCTACTCCCGGACAAGACATGTCCTTACCTCGAATGGGATATGAGTCAGAAGCAACTGAAGGTCAGCCAAAGACCACCCTTGAGCCTCACCAGACTCCATCAACTGTGTCAGGACATGCTGGAGGCCTTGACGGATGTGCACCTGGTGACCGCCTTTCATGCCTTGCCAACCAGCAATCAGGAAGTTGCCCCATGGAAGCTCACCCTGAGCCTGAGAGCCGATGCCCCGTGGCAGACCATGCAGGTTCTGTCCCACTCAGCCATCTGGCTGTTGATGGCCACCTCGCTGAAACCGCATGGGCAGACACAAAGCCCCCTGGCGCAGAGCTTACAGCAAGCCATGGGCCTGACCAGATCGCCCAAAGGCCGTGGGAAGGGGAAAACCAAGACCGTGATGCCCAAGCAGGAGTGACAGCGCCCATGCCTGTAGATCAGATAGGTTGGCAATCAGACCCACGTGAGATGCTCCAAACTCTAGCGAATCTCACCATGCAAAACCCAGGAAACTTTTGTTTTGCCAATGCTGCCACCTATTGTTTTCTATGGACCACCTTGTCCACTGAGCCATGTGACTTGACTGTATGGGGCTTGCAACGCCAGAAACTGACAGATTTCATTTTGACACATCCAGATGCTGCTGCCAATTTGGAAGATGAATCATGGTTTCAAGACATTCTGCGTTGCTGGGGGGCCATTGATCCGACTTTGGACTCAACCAGACTTGCACAGCAAGATGCGGCTGAGTTTGTTCATGTTTGGCTAGACATGATGCAAGGCACAGCATTCCGAATGGGATGGGAACAGCGCCTGGACGAAAATGGCAGAACCACCGTTTTTGACTGCGGCCAACATTCCATGCCTATTTGTTTGAAGTTTGACCAGACTCTTGCACATGCTTCACAATGTGATCTTTCCCAACTGTTTGCACGCTGGTGCCAGGCAGATGGAATGCGCTCAGCCTTAGTTGAGGCTTCACCATGCCTTTGCGTACAGCTTGATCGATGCACCTCAGATGGGAAGGGCCTGATTTACAAGAGTGAATGCAAAATCAACCTGAACAATTCATGCTTGGTGCCTGTTTTCACTGGCCAAGGGCTTTCCTTTGAACACACAGAATATGACATCGTTGCCATTATGACTCATCTTGGAGCTGATCAATCAGGTCACTACAGAGCAGCCATGCGTATCAAGCCATCACTGGTCAACACCACGACCCCAGCTGAATGGCTTCTTACAGATGATTGGGTGCCTCCATCGACAGCATGGCACGCACCCCAATGGATGACGCGCAGCGCCAACCTGTTTTGGCTGATTCGAGGTGACTGCAAAAATCTCCTCCAATATGTTCTGAGAATGCCCTTGCGAGACATCACAGATACCAATGCAGCCACAGTGGAGACATGATGCGGAAGAGACCATCTCTTGTTTTGAATTTTTTCCTGCCACATTGGCACCATTTCTTCTGAGAGACCTAGCTGCTTGGATGCCAGATGGATTCCCCGAGGAACCGATATCAACTGATATCGCTGGCTGGCACGAACCTTGAAGCTGTTGCAAAAAGGAGTGTGGGAAAAAAACACACACACACACACTTTTACACACAGACGCTTTTACACACAAACACTTTCCCACACAGAGGCTTTTACATACAGACACTTTTAAACACAAACACTTTCCCACACAGAGGCTTTTACATACAGACACTTTTACACACAGACGCTTTTACACACAGACCATTTTACACACAAACACTTTCACACACACAGAGGCTTTTACACACAGAAACTTTCACACACAGACGCTTTTACACACAGACGCTTTTACACACAGACGCTTTTACACACAGACGCTTTTACACACAGAAGCCTGTACACACAGAAGCTTTTACACACAAACACTCTCACACACACAGAGGCTTTTACACACAGAAGCTTTTACACACAGACGCTGTTACACACAGACGCTTTCACACACAGAGACTTTTACACACAGAAGCTTTTACACGCAGACGCTTTACACACACAGACGCGTTTACACACAGAGACTTTTACACACAGACGCTTTACACACACAGACGCGTTTACACACCGAGACTTTTACACACAGACGCTTTTACACATAGAAGCTTTTACACACAGAAGCTTGTACACACAAACACTCTCACACACACAGAGGCTTTCACACACACAGACCCTTTTACACACAGAAGGTTTTACACACAGACGCTAGACGCTTTTACACACATAGGCTTTCACACACAGACTCCTTTACACACAGGCCCTTTTACACACAGACGCTTTTACACACAGACCCTTTTACACACAGACGCTTTTACACACAGACACTTTTACACACAGAAGCTTTTACACACACACACACACTTTTACACACAGACGCTTTTACACACAAACGCTTTCCCACGCAGAGGCTTTTACATACAGACGCTTTTACACACAGACGCTTTTACACACAGACCATTTTACACACAAACACTTTCACACACAGACTCCTTTACACACAGACGCTTTTACGCGCAGAAGCTTTTACACATAGACGCTTTTACGCACAGACGCTTTTACACACAAAAGCTTTTACACACAAACACTCTCACACACAGAGGCTTTTACACACAGACTCCTTTACACACAGGCGCTTTTACACACAGACGCTTTTACACACAGACCCTTTTACACACAGACGCTTTTACACACAGACGCTTTTACACACAGACGCTTTTACACACAGACCCTTTTACACACAGACGCTTTTACACACAGAAGCTTTTTCACACAGACTCCTTTACACACAGAAGCGTTTACACATAGACGCTTTTACACACAGAGGCTTTACACGCAGATGCTTTTACACACACACACTTTCATGCACAGAGGCTTTTATACACAGCCACTTTTACACACAAAGGCTTTTACAAACAAAGGCTTTTACACACAGACGCTTTTACACACAGACACTTTTACACACAGACACTTTTACCCACAGAAGCTTTTACACACCCACACACGCTTTTCTTTTACACACACACACACACTTTCACACACAGAGGCTTTTACACACAGACGCTTTCGCAGAGACTTTTACACACAGACGCTTTCGCAGAGACTTTTACACACAGACGCTTTCACACACACAGAGACGCTTTTACACACAGACCCTGTTACACACGAACACTTTCACACACAGAGGCTTTTACACACAGAAGCTTTTACACACACACACTTTTACACACAGACGCTTTTACACACAGATGCTTTTACACACAGACGCTTTTACACACAAACACTTTTCACGCACAGAGGCTTTTACACACAGAAGCTTTCACACACAGAAGCTTTTACACACAAACACTTTCACACACAAAGACCGGACCCGTGAAATCGCAATTTTACCTCAGTTTTTCGCGATCGAGCCTTATTTGGTGCGACAGGGTTGTGATCGGACACCTCAAAATCGCAATTTTACCTCAGTTTTGGACGTCCAATGTCCATTTCGTGCAAAAGGGTTGCGTTGGATACCTCAAAATCGCAATTTTACTTCAGGTTTTGACGTCCAACGTCCATTTCGTGCGAAAGGCTTGCGATTGACATCTCAAAATCGCAATTTTTCCTCAGTTTTTGACGTCCAACGTCCATTTCGTGCGACAGCGTTGTGATGGATACCTCAAAATCGCAATTTTACTTCAGTTTTTGACGTCCAACGTCCATTTCGTGCGAAAGGGTTGCGATGGATACCTCAAAATCGCAATTTTACTTCAGTTTTTGACGTCCAACGTCCATTTCGTGCGAAAGGGTTGCGGCGGACACCTCAAAATCGCAATTTTACATCAGTTTTTGACGTGCGAAAGGGTTGCGGCGGACTAACTAAAATCGCAATTTTACCTAGGTTTTGGACGTCCAACGTCCATTTCGTGCGAAGGGGTTGCGTTTCGTGGCGCTCCGGCGGCACCGCCCCCGCCTTAGGAGAGAGATAGAAAGAAGAGCGAGAGAAGATCCGCAGATGTGAAGGTGCGAGGAAGTAGATCTGCAGATGTGAAGGTGTGAAGATGTAGAGCAGCAGATGTGAAGGTGTGAAGATGTAGATCTGCAGATGTGAGGGTGTGAAGATGTAGATCAGCAGATGTGAGGGTGTGAAGATGTAGATCTGCAGATGTGAAGGTGTGAAGATGTAGATCAGCAGATGTGAGGGTGTGAAGATGTAGATCAGCAGATGTGAGGGTGTGAAGATGTAGATCAGCAGATGTGAGGGTGTGAAGATGTAGATCAGCAGATGTGAGGGTGTGAAGATGTATTACAACGGCTGCTTTTTTACGAAGAACCCTTCGCAGGCGCTCTGGGGAAAAGTAAAAAAAGAGAAAGTTCGGAGCGTAGCAGCAGCATTAAGAGTACATTGTGACCACAGGCGAATGAACGTTAGTAGCCTGCACCATTCCAGCCCGCCCGAACCCTCCCACCCCAACCCCCTCCACCCCATGGGCAACAGCCTGATAGTAAACCTGAACATGACCATCAACGGCATCACAAAAACAAAGGACTGAAAGCCAAATTACTCGTCCCCAACACCGGCGTGGGCAAAAACTAGGACCATAGCTATCAAATCTTTGCATGCCTTTCAACATATTCCTTCTCAAACATCTTCAATCATATCCATGCACGTCATGCACAGGGCAACCCTACTGCGGGATGATTTCAACTGCCCCAAGGAAAATGCACCGGTCTCGGGGCCAGCCTGATCCGAAGCCCCAACCACTCATCAATCCCCTAAAGATTCTTCTCCAAGATCAGGCCTTAAAAGTTGCAGAAAATGTCGCGCTTGCCACTTTGGTTTAAGCAACGGCAAAATTTGCACCATTGCACCCTGGTGAGCTTTCCCTGAAAACCGGTAGTTGCATTTGAACCCGCATGCAGTCCTATAGCCACTTGAAAAGTCCTGCCCGCCCTAATATCAATGTCATTCGATGGCCGCTGAGTGCAAATCTATACCCTTCATCGCGCTGGCTACATCGCTGACGCACACGCATGCCTACAACATTGGTTTGCAGGGCAAAAGCATTGTTGGCTGCGTGCGGCCCCACGCCGTGCTTTTCCTTACCTTCTGTCCTTTCAGTTCCGGTAGCAAACAAAAAAACGTTCATGCAAACCTCAGCAAGGAAATGTGATGCTAAAGTGTCACCTGCAAACTCCACAATCCCAAAATCAGTGAATCCCAATGTAACCTCATTAATCTATTCAATCTATTCACATCTTTTTCGGGATAAAATTAAGCATGCCTGCTAAACATGCCCAGCAAACAAGTCAGGACTGCTCAAAAAAGTGTTACCCACACACTCCACAACCCAAAAATCAGTGAATCCCAATGTAACCACATTAATCCATTCATATCTCTTTCGGGGTAAAA